ATTTTTCCAACCCTCCTTGTTGAAATAAGTTGTTAGCATGTTTCCTAATTCAACCTCCTTTAGACAATGTCGTAAAATATTATCTTTGTATCTTTATCCTACATAGTAGATGAATCTACTCCATTTTTCTTGACCATTGTATTACTAACATAAAAAGAATTAATCAACATAAATATCTTCCATAAATAATATTCAACACAACTCAAAGAGAAATAACAATGTTATAATATCATCATCACCCTAAACCCTAAACAAACTGCACACCACCTCCACACCACACACTACCACCTCCACCTCCACACCACAAACCACAACATCCACACCACTCTACCACCCGACAACATACAAGACACCCAAAACATTGCTATCAACAAATCAAGCACACTATTTCAATCAATTTTCCAAATTCTCACTCAAACATCAAAGGTAAAGATAAAACTCATCCCATATTTTTTATTTTTAACAAATTAATAATGGTTTGATTGTGGCAAGTGTAAATGCATCAATTTTGAGTGTCTTGTATGTAATTTACCCAAAACATTGCTGTCTACAAATCAATCATGCTCTTTCATCCATTTTTCAGAATCTTACTCAAACATTGAAGGTAATGATAAAACCTCATTCCGTATTTTTCAATTTGAACAAATTCACAATTGTTTGATTTTAGTAAGTGTAAATGCATCAGTTTTGGGTGCCCATATGTAATTTACCCAATACATTGATATCTACAAATCAAGCATGCACGTTCATCCATTTTTCAAATTCTCACTCAAACATTGAAGGTAATGATAAAACCCCATATCATATTTTTCATTTGAAGCAATTACATACAAAGCACACAAAACATTGCTATCAACAAATCAAGCACCCTCTTTCAACCAATTTTCAAATTCTCACTCAAACATCAAAGGTAAACATAAAACCCCATCCCATATTTTCTTTTGAGGGACTTACATAAACATTGCTACCTAAAAATCATACATGCTCTTTCATCCTTTTTTCAAATTCTCACCCAAATATCGAAGGTAATGATAAAATCTCATGTCATATTATTTATTTGAAGCAATTACATACAGAGCACCTGAAACATTGTTAACAAAAAATTAAGCAGCATTTTTCAGTCATTTTTTAAATTCTCACTCAAACATCAAAGGTAAATATAAAACCCCATCCCATATTTTTTCATTTGAGGCAATTACATATAGGGAACCCGACAACCATTTTCTACATTCTCACTCAAACATCAAAAGTAAAGATAAAACCTCATTCTGTCTTTGTCATTTTTATCACATTCATAATGGTTTGATTGCAACAAGTGTAAATGCATCGATCTTGGCCCGGACTGTAATTTACCTCAAAAAAGTGTAAAATCCAAATTGGTAATCTTAAATAGAAAACCACAAATAACAAAATCCAAAATTCTCACTTCAAACCACAAATGAGAAAGCCACAATTGCAAAGAGAAATTCATTCCATCAAAAATTAATAGATGATGCCATGGGAGGTTAGAGAGCACAGGAAACAGATAGACCCGAAGATCAGAGGGATGAGAGAGAAGAGAAAGGCAACATGTCGCCACCGGAGAGAGGTGCGAGAGGGAGGAGTGATTGAGAGAGGTGTTACCTAGGCCAAAAGAAACATCAGAGAGAGGAGTAGTGTAGGATGGAGGGCAACAAGATAATAAAATCGCGAAGAAATATGTGTTGCGTGGTCTAAACTGTGGCTAGTGTTTAACATAAATTAATTAAAAACACCACTGTTAAGCTATTTCCAAACGCTTCATCTGGCGTTTTCAAAATGTACTATGTCAAAAAAGAAGCCCCAAATGAGACCTTAGTTTGATAACTAGATAATATAATATTATTAATTTTCATAAATTTAGTTCTGACAATTTTGAATTAAAGTGAAAAAAAATTGTAATGAGTTGGTTGAACATGTGAACGAGGCAGGGGGCAAATGATTGAGTAACTCCCATTATTAACTAAGGGTTTGTTTGGGGCAGCTGCGACTTATTAATAAGCTGTTGTTAGGGCTATAAACGAATTGAGCTTGAGTAAGCTCAGGGTTGGCTCGTTTTCAGTTCGTTCAAAATTTCTTGAGCTCGAAATCGGCTCGCATTCAAAATTGGCTCGTGAACAGTGTGCTCGTGTTTGACTCAAAATTGGCTCGTTAAAATCAATTGAAAAAATAAATGTAAAGTGATGGATTCAAATATGGACCAAATCTATGCAAAATAAGACACATAACCACACTACCACATGAGTTGTTATGATTTAAGCTTAGATATAAAAATACATAATATATTTTAATATTAATAATATATTATTATATAAATAATTATTTGATTCTTTTATTTCGAGCTAAAATGAGCCGAACACAGGCAAACTAGGAGCTTTTCGTGTCGACTCATTTATAATTCAAGCAGAGTTCGTGAACAACGAGCTATTTTGACAGCCCTAGTTGCTGCGGAGCAGTTGTGCCAGAAAGCTACTACACAAAACTATTATGGATCATTTGGTTGTATGTTTATTTTTTGCAGTTTAAAAACAGCCGTGTTGTAGTTGTTTATGGACAAATGACTATTATTTGCAACATAACAGTTCATACCAGTACATTATAAACTTGAAAGCAAATATCCAGTGTTGAATATTATAAAATAAAGATATACAACTCACTAAACATTGAGTAACATAACTACTAATATTAAAAAAAAGATTATTAAAATAAAAATTAATAATATGATAACATTAGGTTTAAAATGCAGATGGTGTATTTCACGAGATAAGCTGTCCTCTAGTGAAACTCTCCATGCCCAATCATTCTTGGTGATTGAACCTTCCAACCCATCGACCCACCTAAAATAGTCATAGTTTTTTGTAATCCTCCTTGTGCACCTGTAAAACGATCTCTCGTAGCTATGTGATTGTCATAAAGTAAGCAAAAAACATTGTAGTGTGCATTAGCAGTGCAATCCTCCAGAGGTACAAAAATCCTCGAGCTCATTTTTCATGAAGGCTTAAAAACACACACCTTTAGATATAATACAACTAAAAATTAATAACATAAGGAATTAATTAAAATTTTATCCAGTAGTGAGATCTCAGAGAACTCAGTATACAAACCAACTAATATGTTACTACAAGAAGACAACAAACCTTATAAAAAAAGAGTACTTGGTTGCCTTTAACCCATGTAATACCAACCTCGTGTATGTTATATATGTATATCACCAAAACATGACATCCAAAAGAACCTAAAAAACCATAACACTGAAACACCTCCACACACCACCACCTCTACACACCAACCACCACACAACACCACCTCCTCAACCACACACCAACACATTCACCACACCAACACCTCCACAACCACTCCAAGCATCACCACTTCACCACATCCACCAACACATACACATCGACACATCAACCACCCTACACCACCACCTCCACCTCCACATCCACACACCAACCACCCTACATCCTTTAACACGAACACATGCATCTCCACATCCACCTTATCAACACCACTTTATCATCAACCAAAGCTATGGTGATTGAGCAAACAGAAAACCATAATTTATCATCAAACGAAAGGCACACCTTTGCACGCATTTTCACCCTAAATTAAGAACATAAAAGATAAAACATAAAACCAAAATCCAACGTCAATTGAAAACCAACACCCACTTCTAAGTTATTGCATGTGGAATTCCCAAAAATCCCAAAATTCAATATCAGTCGAAAACCAACAAAACATAAGCATTTGTCAAATAAGAAACCACAAAATTCTTAAGCTCATAGAACCACAAGGTTGACATTATCCAACACGAAGAGGAACACACGATTTCTCAGGCATAAAGTCATTAGCAAAATCAAAAGCTACACCATAGTTAGGGTAAAGATTACCTAGCACGAAGAAGAACCACCGCATAGAGAAACCGCTTCAAAGAAGAAGCCACAAAAAATCTCAGACACATGATCACTTCCTAAATAAAAAAAAACAACATAGTTAAAGTAAAGATTGCCCAACACGAAGAGGAATCACCTCACAAAGGAACCACCAAACAGAGAAACCATAGCTCAAATGAACTTCAATAAAAAAGTACTGCACGAAGAAGAATCACCACACATAGATCAAATGATCCAACAGATCCACGAAGCAGAGAAAGGAGATGGAGAGGAGAACTTACTGCAGCAATTAACTCAAACAAGTGAGTGAGAGAGAGAGAGTCACAACACTATCCATGATAATCAAGAGAGAGAGATAAATAAAGAGGGGATTTAGGGCAAATATTGCGAGAGAGGCAACCCAGTGAGGATCGCATGAGAGGAGAGGGGATTTAGGACAAGACACACGAATGATCGGGCTTTAGGACAAGACACATGAATGAAAGGATCACGAGAGAGGAGAGGGGCAACCCCTTCACATGTATATGAAGGAACACGGGCCTCAGGGTTCAACCCACCACCGTGTTTCCTTCTGCTTATTCATATAAGTACCAGCGTCGGAGAATACAAACAAAAGAGATTCACGCTCCTTAGCCGTGATGCCCTCCAAACGCTGCCCCAAAAGGGCTGTAAATGACAAAATCCCAGGGGGACAACTGCCCCCTCTCAGCCATACGTGCCGATGTGTGTGAGGAGATAGGAGAGGACAATTGCCTTCTCTCAGCCATACGTGGGTTCAACCATGTGTGTGAGGAGATAGGAGAGGACAAGAGAGTACAATTGCCCCCTCTCAACCATAGGTGGGTCTGCCCATGTGTGTGAGGAGATAGGAGAGGACAGATACACTCTTT